TCATTCATCTAAGGTTAGAGCTCAGACAGCAGCAGCTCACTGACTGTATTCAGTCTAATATGTAGTAATACTCCACATGCAAAAAGCATTTTGTGTAAATAAAACTTCCCCTGGAAATCACAGAGGGTTTCCTGACACCGACGACATGTAGGCAGCTTTTTTAGGCTGATTCAGATTTTTTTTACAATAAATATCGTAAACAGTGACTCTTTTAGGAAAACAGGCCGAGAAACATTTAAAACAAGAGCCAGTTTGGAGACGTGTCACTGAACTGCAGAGCTCTGTGAATTAGTACAATTATGTGTGTGTTCTTTTAGTTATGTGCACTTTTCTGGGAGATGTTAAAATCTGTGCAGAGGCTAAGACACTAACTTTTACACCTGAGCACGGCTCAGGCGCCAAAACACCGTGTCCTACGTTTCCCATCATGCAAATTGATAGTATCCATTACACTGGTAAAGAGCCACAAACACTGTGTCTCCGCTTTGTATAACAGCCTGTCTTTTGTAAATTTGCAGCCCTCACCAAACTGAGTTTATCCCGATGACATCACTATGACATCATCAGGGTTGGGTTTGCTTTTGCAGACGCAGTGTGTTTTTACACACTGAACACTAACATTGACTTGTAAACACATTCGATATCAAATTCATCTGTGTGTCTCTTAAAAACTACAGACTTTGGTTTATGGCGGGGGGGGGGGGGGGGGGCTCTTTTTTTTTTTTTCTAAAATTCTGAACAAAGTCAGAATTAAATGAAGTTACAATAATATACTGTAAGATCCATATATTCTTAACACATTTTCATATATGGAGAGAGCTATCGATCAACCCGGGAGCAGGAGCACCTTAGGGAGCAGGGTTAAGCTTTGTTTGCATTTAGATCACAGATTAATCCATCATTGTGATCAGTTCTGCCAAATTCTCACAGATATTTTCAATCTGGAGAAAAACATCATAGTACTCAATGACTTGTACATTATTTATGCTAATAAAATGTCACTTTTAATCAAATTAAATGCAAAAGTCCAAATATTAAATTCAGCTCATGTCCTACTGTTATGGTTGTGTTCACTCTGGGCCTGGAAAGGAAACGTTCACACATTACTAACATCTGTAGATCAGCAGCTGTCCTGTGACTGAGCAGGAAAAATATTAAAAGGCAGAATTTTTACATTCTATAAATTTAAACGTGTTTTAAATTGAAATGTTTCTCTACCAGCAATAAAATGTCTGACAGAAAGTTACTGTGTCAGACAGCTGGGGTGTGTATGGTGTGATTCTAAACACACACGCCTTGGAGTCGGTGTCAGCTCGTGGTCGTATCATAATGTAATAAAGTGGGTTTGTCACACCCACAGCTCTGATGGCCTGTTTGCCGCTGTTCAGTCTTTGCATCACTAACGCAACTTTTATACACAAACCTGGTTTGATCTGAAATATTTAACCCAAGCTTCACACATTCATACACTAATCCCTGCTCATATCACCTTTGTTTTTTTTTTTTGCAAGACCAAATTTGCTACAGTCACCGTTCTCTTCTTTTGCCCGGCTGAAGCTCAGACCTCCAGTAAACATCATCTGCAGCTCTTCATATGTTCACTGTCCATCCAGTGCTGTTTTCAAATGTGCCTTGAAGGCCACACACTGTAGCTACTGCTTAAAGCCTGTCTGTACCGACCACAGTGCTTTCTAACAAGTGTTGTGAGCGTCTAGACACAACCATAAAAGTGTTACATTTGGTTGTGATATTACAAGAAAACGGGTTGTTTCATAGTAAAAGCCTTAAAAAGGGGATTTTAGAACTACTACAGTTATGGGCACAAATCCACCTAAAAATTAATTACAGATGTAATGGTGGCTTGTGCTGTGGTTTTAAAGCCTTTTAGACACTGCCAGCTAAATAATCCAGCTGGAAAACCAACAGCTCCTGGTTTAGTTCATTCAGTGTTCTTCCTAATTTGATGCATTTATTGTAAGACAAGTATTAGAATCAGCTTTTTAAAAAACTGCATTTGTATTTTGTATGTATTGGGAAAATATAAACACCTTTTTATGTAATTGGCTACATACTGTGAAGCAGCTGCAGGTCATGTTTATATCAGATCAACATCTGCATGGCATAACTGACTTATTTTAAAGCTGCAGCCAGTGGTTTTTGGCCACTAGGTGGCAGAAAGGCTCTACAACAAACTCAGAAGCAAGTTCCTGACACCATCCAGTTCTTATTAATAACATATTAGCAAATAGTATCGATGCTCTCACCCCTTTGGAGAGGTGTTTGGTGTTTGTGTCCACTTGATGAGTAAAGGCCAGTATCCCTCCTGTTTTGCCTCTGGTTTGGGCTCCACCACCTCCTGAGAAAAATATCTAGCTCTTTAGCTGCTGCAGGTTCCTCACCTGGTTGTCTCTGTGTCTGTCTGCTGAGACCGAACCAGACAGTACATGTGCTGTAAAATGAAAACTAAAAGCTGCGTGGAGGTTTGCTTACTGCTGGTTTTACAGAGGAGCTGTGCGACCTCGCTGGGTGGTCCGCCCTGATCTGGACTGTGCTGGAAACATGCAGCTATTAACAGCCATGGTCTTTATGGTGGTTCTGATCAGGAGAAGTCCAGGAGTTTGTTACTGAACCTCGACTTTCTCACTGTTTGCTGCTTATGATGGCGGCAGGTCAGGAAATGACACGGACTGTATTTTACTCTCGCAGTTGATCGCTCTGGATTAGAGACAAATAAGAACAAATGTAAAAAAGGGAAAAGTTGCCTCAGAGTCTCAGTGCATGAAAATTTAGGTTGTTGATTTAATACCTGAGCTTTTAAAATAAGAGAGAAATATATTTTTAGCAGCTGAAACTGCCAAAACAATCCTGGTTTTGTGGGAGCACAAACGGCAGAATGAGAAGCGACTGCAGACGTTTCTACTGGAAACAGCGTCCGGTGCTCAGATCAGAGACAGAGCGGTCCTGTCTAAACACTGGCGATGGATGTAACAGAATAGTGGGTTTGAATGATGGGCAGTGAGGAGAGAATGCCATAACAAGTTCACAGCCAGTTCATCAGTCGGAAAGAGAGGAAGAGGAAATAAGGACGAAGCATTACATCTGTAAGCCTGTTCAGAAAGGACCTGTGTGTGTGTGTGTGTGTGCTGTTCTGTTACTGTAAACTGTGTGCACCGTGGAGGGCTCATGTGCTGGTCACAAACCCATCGTTCCACATTAATGACCGTTTACATGTGATAAAGTAATGAACCTTTTTAGCACTTCCAGCTCTTAAGTCACGGTTTATCACAATATAATGTGGTTATGAGATGCTAAACGGACTTTTTCACTAGTGTACAGTCAGTTCTAAGACGTGTTGTATCACCTGTTTATACAGCAGCTTTCACCTACCTGTGTCAAACAGATCACTTAGTGTTTACAACAACACTAGTTTGTCAGTGTCATCACTGCTGCGTATAGTTCTTACACTGTAAATGATAAAGATGGGGACTTAAAGTGTTGTAGTTAAATTCACAGAATTTCATGATTTAAAAAGCCTCAAAAATTCACAGACGATAAGTGTGTGTGTTTTTCAGACTAACATTTTAAAGAATTTCACTCTGGGGAAAACTGCACTCACAGACACTCGGGGTCTTTGGGAACCGTAACACGTGAATTGTCAAGTTTAATGTGAAAACATGAATTTCATGATTTAAAAAGCCTCAAAACAAGAATAACAGACATTTCTCAGACTTGGAGTGTGACCAGTCATCACTGACTGTGGAACTCAAGGTCAGTTCACTGAAGCTAAATCAGAAGGTGTAGAAGAGATGTTTTACACTTCACTCGGCTTAGAAACGAAGCTCAGTGCTCATTGAGCAGTGGCTTGAGCCCTTCACTTCACGTCTGCCCCTCAGCTTCGAGGACTGTGGAGAATCCAGCCTGTAAAATTTTCCCCATTTACTCGGCCGTGAACCTGTACTACAATTTGTGGTTTATAAAAGACCATAATATGGTTTAATCACCTTCTATCAATCACAGTGTGAAAGTGGCTGTCTCTTTCTAAAATAGTGGAATCTAATTTGGGGGAAACAGAAGAAACAGCCCTGACATCCTGTTCCTCTCAGCCTCTCTGCTCGGTGGGAGTCTACTGTCCAGATAATAATCTCTCATTATGTTGCTACAGTCAATTAACATCCATTACTGTCACTCTGCATCTCTGAGTAAATGTTGACACTCGCTAATTCCCAGCAATACGCACATTTAACCGGGGCGAACATGCAGGCGGCACTTTGCCTCATTTGGGCGTCAGCACCTCAGGGTCCCGCTCGTTCTCCTCTCTCCTCTTCTTCATTTGCAGTTTTTGATAATACTTTACTCTGACGTTTCCTGGAAAGAACAATGTGCTTTGGTGTCAATTACAAAACAATACACACCAAATTCCACTGAGTTGTGTTGAGTTGTGTTATTTGTGGCTTCCAGGTGAATTTCAACGAAAGAAATGGCTCGATTTAAAACCCACTGAATATTTACTTTTCATTTATTCATCAGATGTTGTCCTTCATTTATGCTGAATTGTGTGGTTGTTTGCAGACAAATTTCACGCTCAGCGTGCGGAGCTCACCTACTGACCTCTGAATAAAAGCCTCAGGTTTGTGCTAGCTGAGCCTTTACAAATAACTGGGAGTGAACCAAGTGGCCGCTCGCTAATTCAACCTTTAATTAGGACCAAATTACATTGTTCCTCCAGGAAAATTCTTAGTGCGACCCAGTTTTTCACTGTGTTGAAACTTTTTTTTTTATACAATCAAACCAAACTGGTCTTGTAATGACTTAAACAATTATTTAAATTTCCCTTTTGACTACAAGCACCAATAAAAACAGCTGTAAATGCTTTGAAATAACACCAAGCTCCAGTGGAGGCAAAGTGACCCCATCAGTCATTCTCCCTGGCTCCTGATTCCACATTTGTTCAATCAGTGTTGTTCCAAATATACTTTCATTACCATTATGCGTTCAGCGTCTTTATAAGGCTCGAAGTGCTTAAAAGTCAAAGTAACCTTTATTTTCTCCTGTAAGAGAAAATTGTCAGAATAAACAAACTGCTGCATAACACAGTTAAATAAACACACACTTGCAAACACTGACCTGAAACAAAGAAATGAATCTCACAAACACTACGTCAGAACACATGTGTGAAAACATCCAAATGATTCAAGTTCAACCCTGGGTGTGGGGTTATAGTGCACCATCTTTAAAACAACGTTTCTGCTGAAATTGTACGCTGTTTGAGTGCATTGTTGTGTATTAGTGTGCATTGTTCTCAAAAGTACAACTCTGTCTTTGTCCTCTCCAGGTTGCGACATGTGTGCAGACAACAGGAATGGTGAGTGCCCGATGCACGGCCCTCTGCACTCCCTGCGGCGGCTCGTTGGCCGGCGCCCGTCACCCTGCCGGACGTCCCCGATTGGCTCAGAGACCTGCCCAGAGAGGTGAGGCTTCCCGCTGGTCGCCCCCTGCTCATTTGGCTGCCGGGACGTTACGCTGAATAATGTTTCGAGGAAGCTGTAGTAGATGTTGTGCAGAAATGTCAAGAGACAAATTTCACCTAGAATAAAATTTTTATTCTATTCAAATCATTTCTTGTTGAATCAACATCATTTGTTTCAACCTAGTGAACTATATAAAAAGACTGCAGCGGCATAGTTGACCGGTTTAGTACCACTGCTGAAGAGGACCTCAGATTAAACTGAGATTTTTCCCCAGTCCTGAGGACCAGTTCTGTTCACACACAGCAGGTGATCAGATCATAACCAGGACTGGAACCTGACCTTGACTGTAGTGGTTTTATTTATCTATTTATTTTTGTATTTTCTTTTTCCATGCGTTGTGTGCAGGTGTGCCTGTGCACCAGTACAGTTCCTGGTCTGGGCTACGGGATCTGTGCGGCTCAGAGGATCCCTCAGGGAACCTGGATCGGCCCGTTTCAGGGAGTTCCTCTGCTGCTGGACAAACTTCAGTCTGGAGCCGTTAGGAACACGCGACACCTGTGGGAGGTAGGAGGGTGCTCCACCCGCACTGTCGGCGCTGGAGGGTGTTTCCATTTTAGTGTGTAGTCAAACCCAGAGCTCCTTTTAGTGTGTCAGGATGAGCTGAGCTCTTCCTCTTTACACTGTTTCAGGAAACAGGCCTCTGGTTTAGCCTCTGTTTGTGTGAATATGACGTGCATTTGTGTACTCGTGTATGTCAGGTTGTGAGGCTGTGTGCGCTTGTGGTCACCGTCCTGTCACCTCTCAGTCCATTGATCAGAGCAGATTCTATTTACATACAGTGGCAGGAGAAAGTCAATGTGGCAGTTATAAACAGCTGCATTAGCATTAGAGCAGGAGTGAGGCATGCTGGGAA